GGCGACCGCGAAGGCGCGTTTTTGATACCCAGTTCGCCTGTGCCCCGCGCCTGCCACAGCCCCCGAAGACCGGAGCCGGCGGCCGGAGCTGGGAAGGGGACCCGTAAGGAAGAGCGAGCAGCTGGACGGGCAGGCGGGAAAGACAGAAGGATGCGGACCGACGCTCGGAGAGCAAAGGTTTGGGCGCGGGACGTGCGCTTAAGCAGGAGCTCAGATCTCCAAAGAGCACAGGGATGACGAAGGCAGCGCCGGGGTGACAGGAGACTCCCGCGCGGGATGGCGCCCCAAGTTCTCTGTGCGTCGACAGTGATGATCTCCTGCCAGCCCTCTAGGGGTCTGGCTAACGGGAAAGGGCCACCGGGTATATTGGGGTGCAGCCAGAAGCCTGTGGGCGCGAAGACCCCCAGAGGGGAGGGTGCCTCTATACTTCTCTTCCCCACCCCTACCTCTTATCCTCCCCGCCCCCCCCGCAGCGGTTGTCTCTCGCTGGGAGCCGGGTTGCTGGAGGGGGCGCCCAGCGGCAGTGGCTCCCCGGAGCGCACTCTCGCGGGCGGCGGGGCATTTGTGTCCGCAGCGGCAGGGGCAGTTCCTGAGGCCAAGACTCGGGGGCAGGAACAGGGGAGGGTGGTCGTAGGCGGGTGGGGCTCAGCTCCACCGGCAGCCGGAACTCCCCTGGGTGCCGGAGCCTCCGGCGGAATGAGGGGCTGCTGTTAGGCAGACGGAGGGGCTGAGCCCAGCGGATGCCCGAAGCCGGGCAGGTGCGTCCTTTTCCTTGAAAATTGCATTCGCTCCCGAACTGGAAATCTAGGCGGGGGCGGGGCCTCACGGTCACTTGGAGTGGGAGATGAGCGTCAACGCGATGTCTCAGGACCCAAAGCCACGGGAGGTGCAGGTGCCACTCTCACCGGCGCGTTGCACTCTGACACAGTTCCCTTGCATCAGCCGCTCCCTCCCAAGCGAACTCCTGGCCCATCCGGGCCACTGTGGAGACAAGGCCACTGGGAAACAGGGGCACAGGAGGCCTGGTGAGGGGTCACTCCTCGCAGACCCCACGCCCATCCCGTGGGCGGAGAAGAAAGGCGTGAGATGAGGTTGGGAAGGTCTGGGCAGCAAGGGTGGCGTGGAACTGGGATGGCCAAGACTGGTCAGAGAGCATAGCCACAGGTGTCCCTGGGAGAGTCACCACCACTGGTGGGGCTCATCAAGACTCAGCGTGGGGCTTCCTCTTGGGGGCTGCAGGGGCCTTTGGTGGTGGGGGAGGGGGGCAGGCAGGAGGGAGACCTGCACTTTGTGCTCTACCTGCTACTAAGTGCATTTTGAAGGGAAATTCCTCTGGCCTCTGTGTTGCCCCAGCAGTCACTGGGCAGCTGTTGAGGAGCCCAGAGGCAGGTGCAAGAAGTTTCTAGAAGGCTGGGAGCAAGCTGGCACCGGAGTTCTAACTTCATCCTGCATCAGTTTAATGACCACCCCCAACCTCCAGAATCCCAGACTCCTGCTGTCTCAGAGAGAGGAGGTGAGTTTGGCTCCAACAGGGGAAGAAGAGGAAAGCCACAGGGGATAGGGAGTGGGGTTGGGGGTGTTTCTTGACTGAGGTGGGGAGAGCTGGTCCCCACATTCTCACCCCAGATCCTTACCTCGGAGAACACTTTTGCTGCTCATCCCTCCCCTGCAGAAGCTGTTTGCTTTCTCTGAGGATTTGGTCTTTGATTCAGGACATAGAATCCCAGGATCTGGAAGAAACTTTGGGGTTGTCTAGGGCCTAGACAAAATGCACAGTTTGCAGTGGTCAGCAAACTGCGGCTCGCGTGCCACATGCGGCTCTTTGGCCCCTTGAGTGTGGCTCTTCCACAAAATACCAACTTCTGCGCATGGGCCACGAAGTTTCAATCGCACTGTACGTGCGCGTCTGCACGTGGTATTTTGTGGAAGAGCCACACTCAAGGGGCCAAAGAGCCGCATGTGGCTCACGAGCTGCTGTTTGCCGACCACGAGCCTAGGTATACAGCAAGTTATACCATCTAGGTTTGTGTAAGTACACTCTAGGACCCTTGCACAAAGACAAAATCACCTAATGATGAATTTGTCAGACCATGTCTCCCTTTCTGAATTGTAACAGGGATTATAATTGGAACAGCAGAGAACAGGCAGAGGAGAGAAGTGGTAATTTATTAGAATTTTCAAGAAAATGCCTCTCTGTGAAAGTCATATTCAAGTTGAGGCAAGAAGATAAGGGCCTAGCCCCGTGGTCGGCAAACTGCAGCTCGAGAGCCACATGCGGCTCTTTGGCCCCTTGAGTGTGGCTCTTCCTAAGCCTTGGGAGTACCCTAATTAAGTTAATAACAATGTACCTAACCTCCATGCCATGCCTGAGTCATAACAGACTGCTACCCAGGCAGTGCTTGTGGGGACAGGGCACCCCAACCCCAGGCAGCCTTCTAATAGCTCTGAACGTGACCATGTTTTGCTTTAGCAGACCCAGGAGAGCCACAGCATCTCCAAGGCAACTTCGCAGCGGGAATTTACATGCCACCTGGGAACACGAGTCTGGAACATGAGTTCAAGCCCCTTGGGAAGTTAGTCTTGGATTCTGCCAGCTCGTCACCTTGTGGTGACCTTCAGGCACCAGAACTTGGGTCAGCTGCAGGGACAGTCTACTCAGCTGCAAGCCACATCCCAACCCCAGTCCCGCATGTCTGATGACCTGAGCACAAGGACGCCCCTTAGAGACAGATGCGTGCATGGTTATAAGGAAGCCAGGTCCCCAAGGTAGGCCAGTGATCAGATGCTGTTACTGGGCATCACAGCCCCCTGGGATGGCGGGTCCCCTCTGCGCTCCGTTCCTTTGTTCTCCAGGCAGCACAGAAGATCTCACCACAGCTCTGCCCTGGGCACCCTGTAGACAAGGCGTAATGAGGACTCAGCCTCTGCCTTGTCCCCTTTTGGGAGGTACGGGGGTCCCTGCAAAAAAAGCATTATTTCAGAAGACAGAACAGGTGCTCCCTGGCTATGACTGGTTGATGCTCCTGAGAGTCGAGACCCGAATTCGCCCAGCTGGCGTGACTCAGTGGTTGAACGTTGACCTATGAACCAGGAAGTCACGGTTCAATTCCCGGTCAGGGCACATGGCTGGGTTGCCACCTGGATCCCCAGTGTGGGGGGTGCAGGAGGCAGCCAGTCAATGATTCTCTCTCGTTATTGATGTTTCCATCTCTCTGTCCCTCTCCCTTTCTCTCTGACATCAATACACATAGATATTTTTAAAGAGACCAGAATTCAAAACCTGCCTCTAACCTCAAGCTGCAAGTCCCTCAGCCCTTCCTAGCTTTAGATCCTCAAATGCACAGTGAGGCTGACAATCAAATGTCCACCGAGGGTTCACCTGTGAGAGGTGGAGGGCATGTGGGCATGGGGCCGCTGCCAGGCACCTGGCCAGGAGCCTGCCCTCGGTCTGGACCTACCATGGCCCCTGGCCTTTGTGACTCAGAGCTGGAGAGAGGGTTAGGCTGGAGCTCTGCCCTGAGGAAGGTATCGCTGGGAGGGCAGGAGAGGGAAGGTGGTGATGTTACCTGCAGAGGCAGCCGCCTGCTGGCCCTCACTACACCTGGTGGTACTGATCTCCACTCAGCCAAGAGGTGCTGCAAATGTCTCCCCCAGAAAGGCCTGGATGGGCTGCCTGGGCCACAGGTGCGGGAAGATTCCAGCAGTGCTCTGGCTCGACTTCCTGTCTGGTGCTGGGGCTGGGTTCCCTTGGGCTCTGAGGAATTTCCCAGGGCTGCCCTGCTCCAGGTTACCCCCGGCAACAGCTCTGGCATCCACACCCAGTGGGCTGCAGTCAGGCTCCCGGCCACTGGCTTGACCTGCCAAGCGCCCCACCTGCGGTGCCCCCCCACTGGCTTGACCTGCCATTGGGCTCTGGGCCTTTGCATGGGGGAGGGGAGGGGACAGAGAAGGGAGCAGGGTGGGTTCTTTCCCAGAAGTTCCACTGGGGACCTCTCTGAGCCCTCTGTTTGGGACAAATGCAGAGGGCTGGCGGACACTGCCATCTGCTGGTCACCGGTAATGTGTGCTACCACTACACCCCAGCTTCTGTTGTGCATCTCTGGGGCTTTCCATGGAGGGAAGGCGGGAAGGGCAGAGGGTCTGCGTGTTTCCCGGGCCAGGTTTACAGAATCAGCTTTTCCGTTCCTGAGCCACTTTGGCAGGTCAGGGTCTCGGATTCTCATCCCATGGTGAGGTGAGTCCATATGAGAGGGTTTGTCATACCCTGCATCCTCTACCTCTAAAGCCCCTTGCCCTGGTCCAGCTGTGGCCCCAAAGGCAGCCATCAGAGGCATGCCAGGCACAGCGAGTGAGCACACGGAGGGAAGGAGGCAGAAGGGGCAGGACAGGGACCTGGAGGCAGCAGGTCCACCGACACACTGAGAGCACAGGGCAGGAGGTTCCTCTCACTGAGACGCCCAGAGCCTCCACGGGGCCTGGAGCAGAGGCCCAGATTAGCGGGTATTATTGAATGTGTGAATGAATGAATGAGTGAGCCATGAGAGAGCCCTGGCTGGTTTGGCTCAGTGGATAGAGCGTCAGCCTGTGGACTAAAGGGTCCCAGGTTTGATTCCAGTCAAGGGCACATGCCCGGATTGTGGGCTCAATCCCCAGTGGGGGCATGCAAGAGGCAGCCGACCAAGAAAGGAGAGAGAGAGAGAGAGAGCGAGAGAGCAGCTTTGTGATGGAGTCCAACTAGGAGAAGAAACAGAGCAGAGTCTTGTCTCCTTAGTTGCTAAACATTAGAAGAACACAAACACACTGACTAAATGTCACTTTGTGCCAGGCCCTGGGCTGAGTATTTTACAGGTGGTTGCAAAGAAGTTTGTGGATCTGAGTTCCAGGGCGGTAGGGTGGGGAAGGGAGGCTGGTTCTTTGGGGAAACACAGTCAAGCAGAAGCCCTACCTACTCTTCCCAGAGTGTGGGGAGCCGCTCTGGGCGGGGGTGTCCTTAGGAAGGGAGGACCCGAGCAGGAGGGTACCCGGAGAGGGGACTGCACACAGAGAGGGCGAGAGTGTGAGCGGCTCTGTGAGAGGGAAGCTTTGGGTGACAGACTCCTTGGCAAAGTGTCGACTCCTCTGAGCACCTTCTCCACTAGACCTTGACCTCCCCCCTTCTCTCCACCCCCCCCCCACACACACACACACACTTTGTCCTGCCTGGGCCACTCTGCAAATATGAAGCTGAGTCAACTTTAGAAAGAATCCCCCAGCCTGGATATGTGATCAGCCTGGATCTCTGACCAGGTTCCCCGACATCTGAGTCCTTGCCTGCCTTCAGCAGATGCCTGCTAGGCTCCTTTAGCAAGACTCCCCGTCCCCTGCTGTCTCCTCCAGGAATTTTCCTCCCCTGGTCCTCACCCTGCTCCGTGGCAGTAAATCCCCACGTGTCCCTCTGGGGCTCAGAGTTGAGCCTCAGCTCTCTCCTATGGCAATAGTCTTGAATAAAGTCTGCCTCACCTTTTTAACACGTGGCAAAATAACTTATTTTTTTTTTTTTTAGCAGAAGAAAGACAGTTGTTGTTTTTTCGGTTTTTGTGGAGAACTCCCTGTTAGCCTCTTCCAGGAGAGCCACTGGAAGGCCTCTGGAGTCAGGCTGTTGTTTCTTTAGCCGTACAGGGTGATTTTTTAAAAATGTAGTTAGACATCCCCTGAGGGCTCCTGGACTGTGAAAGGGCACAGGCTTGGCTGAGGCCCCCCCCTACCCCCGCAACACACACACACACACACACACACACACACACACACACACGCACGCGCGCACACGAGTCTAGTTTATCTTGTTTGCTGCGTTATATGTTCCCCCATTTGACCCTCCTAGAATCTCTCTGAGCATCTCTAGGGACATGAGCACTGGTGACATTGTTCCCCCAACACTCTCCCTAAGGCAGGGAGACCAGATAATTTCTCTTTGAACCAGGACATTGTGGGTACCCTTATGAAGTGACACCAGCAAACCAAGGGTCCTTGTGACCTTGATTAAATTTAAGTTTAAATCCCAGCTCTGGAAATCATAGCACTCTCTCATATATAAAAATATGTGTATATTATATATATAATATACATATATTTTATACATATATACCTAGGCTTTCCCCTGGATAATCAACAACCCCGAGATAGCAGAGGACAGTAGCCTGGATCTGACTAAGGACTGCAAGGTCCCAGCCTCTGACGAGCTGAAGATAACTTTTTAATTTTTTTTAATTGATTTTAGAGGGAGAGAGAAACACTGATTTATTGCTCCACTTGTTTGTATATTCATTGGGGGTGCAGGGCCGGATTATCAGAAAGGTCCGT